CTATCTGGCACAGCTATTGCTCTCTGCACAATTATCCTCAGATGCTACTGCCACCATTGGTGAGAAATGGGTGAACCAATTTATTAAGCGCCATATTGAGCTTTGTTCTAAATATACCTGAAAGTATGATTATCAACAAGCAAAATGTGAAGATCCAGAGCTCATTAAGGGGTGGTTCAAGTGGTTTCATGATACTATTCAAAAAGTCTGTGATCCTTAAGCAAGATATCTACAATATGGATGAGACTGGCTTCCAAATGGGTATGATTTCAACTGCCAAAGTTATCAGTGGATCAGAAACACAAGAGAGTCACGTAAAAGCTATACAGCCTGGGAATCGTGAATGGGTTACTGCAATTGTTGCAGTAAATGCAGCTGGATGGGCCTTACCTCTACATATTATTCTTGCAGCAGAGAATCACTAATCTTAATGGTATCAAGCTATCCCAAAGGACTACCAAATCAGTGTTAGCAAGAATGGCTGGACAAATAATGAGATAGGCCTTAAATGGCTTCAGAAGACCTTTGAGACCTATACAGCTTCATACACAGTTGGAGATATCGCCTATTGATTTTAGATGGGCATAGCAGCCTTGCTACTGCAGGATTTGATAAATTCTGTGTAGAGAAGAATATTATTCCTCTTTATATGCTATCACATTCTTCTCACCTGCTCCAACTGCTTGATGTCAGCTGCTTCTTGCCATTAAAGCACCTGTATGGCCAGAAAATTGGGGAGATAATACAGAAAGGAATCTATACCATTGACAAGGAAGATTTTTTATATATCTATCCTACAGTCCATTAACAAGCTAATAACTACTAGGTATAGATTATAGTCTTTAAGTTTTATATTAGGGTCTATTAGTATAGTAATTAGTTTATAGTCCTTTATAATAAACTTATCTAGTATCTTCTTAATATATCTATACTAAGAAAGTCTAATAATTTAATTCTTTCTATTATATATAATAGTTATTCTTAAGTAGTAGTTATATAGACCTACGTTATATAAAATATTTACTTAAAGCTTTCTTAACCTTCTAAATGTCTTTAATTAATAGTTTAAAGATTAAGTGACTATTAATATAGATAGTAATATATATTAAGTTATAATAGAAGATACCTAAATCTATAAAGATTAGTTTAAACCCTAGTATTTTTAGGAAAATACTTAAAATAAAGTACTAAATTCTTAATAATTATTTTAGCCTATATAGTACCTTATTAAGTCTATAGACTTAGCTGTATTATCTTTTAGCCTAGTTAGGTACTTAACGTAATCCACCACCGAGCTGCGCGGACCACCGAGCTGCGCGGCCACCACCTCGGCCACCCCCTATCATCGGATTTATCGCGATTTACCAACGCACCGCGTCATGGCTGATATATCAAAAGAAGGGCGTATGCAATTAGCACTTGAAGCCTATAAGAAAGGTCTTTTTCCATCAAAAACTGCAGCTGCCAAAGCTTTTGACGTGCCTCCAAGGACCTTTATGACACGCGTTAATGGGACTACTGCTCGCAAAGATTCAACTGCAAATTGTCGCAAATTGACAGATACTGAAGAATCTACACTTTCAGCATGGATTCTTGATATGGACCGACGTGGTTTACCTCCACGAATATCAACAG